ATGGGGCTCCCTATGGGGCCACAACAAGTGTGAGGGGGGGGGGGCCAGAATGGGGCGGCGCCGCCATGCGGGCTGCGCCACTGGGACCCAAGATGGGGATCCCTATGGGGCCACGAAACGTGTGAGGGGTATGCCAAATGGGAGGGCGCCGCCATGCGGGCTGCGCCACTGGGACCTTAGGTGGAGCTCCCTATGGGGCCACGAAGCGCGTGAAGGGTGTGCCAAAATGGGAGGGCGCCGCCATGCGGGCTGCGCCACTGGGACCTAAAATGCCCTATGGGGCCATGAAACGTGTGAGGGGTGTACCAAGATGGGGCGGCGCCGCCATGCGGGCTGCGCCACTGGGACTTCAGGTGGAGCTCCCTATTGGGCCACGAAGCGCGTGAGGAGTGTGCCAAAATGGAGCGGCGCCGCCATGCGGGCTGCGCCACTGGGACCTTAGATGGAGCTCCTCATGGGGCCACGAAACGTGTGAGGGGTGTACCAAAATCGGGCGGCGCCGCCATGCGGGCTACGCCACTAGGACTTCAAGTGGAGCTCCCTATGGGGCCACGAAATGTGTGAAGGGTGTGTCAAAATGGGGCGGCGCCGCCATGCGGGCTGCACCGGTGGGACCTTAGGTGGAACCCCCTTTATGGGGCCACGAAACGTGTGAGGGGTGTGCCGAAACAGAGACATGCGTAGAGCAAAAGCAAGGAGGGGAAGGAGGGAGGAGGAGGAGGAGGAGGAGGAGGAGGAGAGGAAGGAGACGCGGGGCACCGTCTCTTCAAAACGAGGACCCAACACCACAGGGTGGCTGTGAAAAACATAAAAAAAAGAGAGAGAGAGAGAGGACAACAAAAATCTGCTAGGCATCCAACCCACTCGCATCAAATGACAAAAAATGATGGCCCAAGCTCGCGTGGACGACGACAGTGTAGGCGCCGTCATTTGTTACGCGAGCTACATGGGAAGCGCGCGCGCGCGCTGGACGACTCACTGGACAGCAACAGAAAGACCAAGGACTCTGGCCCCAGGCTCGAAGAGAAAACGGGGACGAGAACGAGGGGCGGGAGGAGGACGCGAGGGGAGCCGAGACATCAGCGCGGCAGCAGTAGAAGAACGGCGGAGGGAGGAAGAGGACGACGACGAAAGAGGCCAGATGAGAAAGAAGGGCGACTCTGCTCTTCCAGCAGCACGCTGAACCTGCAGCGGTGCCCGCGCCGTGTCGCTCTGGCGCTCCACAAGATGAGGCCTGTATAGCTAGCGCTAGAAGCAAGCGAGGCCCAGCTCGCCCGCCAGGTTCCCCGCCTCCTTCCTGCACCTTCGAATGCGGGAGTTGAACGCTTCAGGCGCGCTGACGGGCCTGCGGCCGGCCCGCGGGCAAAGAAATCAGGGCCGGAGACGCGTTATCGTCAGCACGCTGTCCACCGTAACCGCCCTGGACAATATCGCGTGAAGATGCAGCTAGAGGCCGTCAAATTTCTTCTCGTCTTTGCGCCCAGCGTCGACAATGACTCCGCGGTCGATGCTCAGGCAGGCCCTAGCAGGCCGTGGACCTCGAGACTTCGGCATGAGTGTGCGTAAGACGTCAGTCCGACGGACCACCTAGCAGACCTCGGCAATGGCGACAATTCCGCAATTCGCAGCCCTCAAGAACTGGCGAGGTCTACACTCAATCCGCGCCTGGTACCTATCCACTCGTAAGTAGCGACAGTTTCGCTGTTCGCAGCCCCCCAAGATTGGCAAGGTCTGATCTGAATCTGCGCCAGCAGCCCACTATGCTGGCCCCCCCAGTAGCCCTCGAAAGTGGTGACAGTCTAGCAGTGCGCAGCCCCCCCCCCAAGGATGGCGAGGTCGAATCTGAATCTGCGCCTGGTACCCACTATGCTGGCCCTCCAGCAGCCCTCGAAAGCGACGACAGCTTCGCAATTCGCATCACCCCACGGCTGGCAAGGTCTAATCTGGATCTGCGCCTGGCATCCACTATGCTGGCCCCTTCCGTAGCCTTCGGAAGTGGCGACTGTATCACTGTACGCACCCCCCCAAAACTGGCGAGGTCTAATCTGGATCTGAGACTGGTACCCTTTGTGCTGCACCCACAAGCAGCCCAAGAAAGTGGCGACTGTATCGCTGTACACAGCCCCTCAAGAGTGGCGAGGTATAATATGAATCTGCGCCTGGTACCCACTATGCTGGCCCCACAAGCAGCCTTCGAAACTGACGACAGTTTCGCTGTTCGCAGCCCCCCAGGGCTGAAAAGGCGTAATCTGGATCTGCGCCTGGTACCCACTATGCTGACCCCACAAGCAGCCCTCGAAAGTGGCGACTGTATCGCTCTTCGCAGCCCCCCAACGCTGGCGAGGTCTAATCTGGATCTGCGCCTGGGACCCAGTGTGCGGCCCCCCCAACAGCCCAAGAAAGTGGCGACAGTGTCGCTGTTCGCAGCCCCCCAAAACTGGCGAGGTCTAATATGAATCTGCACCTGGTACCCACTATGCTGGCCCCGCAAGCAGCCCTCGAAAGCGACAGTTTCGCTGTTCGCAGCCCCCCAGGGCTGAAGAGGTCTAATCTGGATCTGCGCCTGGTACCCACTATGCTGGCCCCCCAATAGCCCTCGAAAGTGACGACAATCTTGCAGTTCGCAGCCCCCTAGGAATGGCGAGGTCTAATATGAATCCGCGCGCGCCTAGTATACATTATGCTGGTCCCCCCTAACAGTCCTTGAAATTGGCGACAGATTCGCAGTTCGCAGCCCCCAGGGCCAGCGAGGTCTGATCTCAAACCTAAATGTGCGCCTGGTGCCCACTACGCAGGCCCCCCAGCAGCCCTCGAAAGTGGCGACAGATTCGCTGTTCCCAGCCCCCCAGGACTGGCCTCGAAAGTGGCGGCAGTCTATAATCTAAATCTGCACCTGGTACCCACTATGCTTGCCCCCCCAGCAGGCCTCGAAAGTGGTGACAGTCTCGCAGTGCGCAGTCCCCCCAGGATGGCGAGGTTTGATCTCTGATCTAAACCTGCGCCTGGTACCCACTATGCTGGCCCCCCAGCAGCCCTCGAAAGTTACGACAGCGTCGCTGGTCGCAGCCCCCCAGGACTGGCGAGGTCGAAGATGATTGCGCACCTGGTCCCATGATGCCGCCCCGCCAGCAACCCTCGAAAGTGGCGGCAGTGTAATCTAAATCTGCACCTGGTACCCACTAATTATGCTTCCCCCCCCCGCAGGCACTCGAGAGCGGCGACGGCTTCGCCCTTCGCAGCCTCTCCCGGGGATGGCGAGGTCGAATTCAAATCCGCGGCGGGTGCCCGCTGTGCTGCCCCCCCCCCCCGGGCTGCCCTCGAAAGTGGCGACAGCGTCGCAGTTCGCAACCCCCCCAGGACTGGCGAGGAAACGTGTCACAGCAGCGCCTGGTACCATGATGCTGCCCCCTCCCACCCGCCCCCGAAAGTGGCGGCAGCTTCGCAGATCGCCGCGGGAGGGCGGCGGGTTAGGAGCAAGGCTGGCAGGCAGGACAGAAGAGGCAGGCTGGCAGGCAGAACAAGAGAACAGAAGGTGAGAGGTAGGAGGGAGGAGAGGAGGAGGGAGGCGGGAGGAGAAGTGTGCGACCGAAGTGCTCTATGCAGAAAGAGAATCCAACGCAGGAGGGTTGGCAATTAACAATACAGATGTCGAGAGAGTGCGAACACATCACCAAAGCGTGAGATCTCCCTCTCCATGTATTCCTTATCCTCCTCATCGTCATTCTCTTCTCTTCCTCATCACCCGTTCCTCCTCATCATCCTCCTGCTCCCCTCCACAATCAGAATCCGCTCGAAACTGGTCCCAGGAAGCCTTCCAGACATTATGCTGACCCGTTTTCCGAAATGCACCCAGGCTGTCGTGTAGGCGAGGGGGGCCCGAAAGGGCCAGAAATGAAGCAGGACGATCTCCGTCATCATCCTGAACATAACTCTCTTTTCCTCGCCCGCGCACGCGGTTGCTGCACGGGGCCTCTCGCGGAGATGCGCAGTCCATAGTCTACAGGCACGCGTGATACATGCCGAAAGATTATGCGCCCTCGACACTCCTCCCCCAACATCAAACATTTGTTGTTTAAAAAACTCGCCGTAAAAAAGAACACGGAATGAGGCCTTCGACCTGATCGTTCTGCCTCGCTCCCCAAACTCAGGGCGTGAAAGCGGGTCGTGACCTTGTCAAGACAGCCGAACACCAGGGACCTGCTAAGCAGGTTCCGTGCCCCTGGACCCTGGAAAGGAGAATAGGAAATAGAGAAGGAGATCGATAACGCTACTCACTGGTCGTTCCGAAGCAAGACCAGCGGCAGCGACACGAAGAGGGGCCCTAGAGGGTGGCCCAACAGGACGAAGGCGAGGAAAGGACATCGGTATCGAAACGTTTTTCTCCTCTGCGGCTCTCGGCCTGGGCAGTGCCCCCACATGATTTGCTATCAGCGGCGCGCAAGAGGGGGGCGGCCGTGTAAGATTGCAGGGGGCTCCTCGGAAGCGATCGGAGGTTCCTGGAGAGGCTCCTCAGGAAATCAGGAGGGTTTCTCTCAGAAGCCCCTCCTGCCTTCCCAGAAGGCGAAGGGGGTTCTCCCGACGAGCCAGTGGATGGCTTCGCTGTCCTGCGTCTGGACGGTTGGTCCGTGGTCCCCCTGCTGGGTCTGTGGCGCTCCCAGAGGACTGCTGACGGTCTGATTGTTTTGAGGGGGAGGAGGGGGTGGCACGGTGTGGCAGGCGAGCCCCTGCTGTTCTGGCCCCTCTGCGGCACCGCCACCCCCCAGACATCCGACGATGTGGCTTTCCTTCCACGCGCGGCCCCACAAGACCGAGGGAGCGCTGCTGTTTCGCCACCGGTCCACTTCTGCTGTCTCTTGGGCCCGAAAGCGGGCCCCAGAGACCTACACCGAGGGGGGGGACAAAAAGCAACAACAACAAAAAACGGATTCCTTTCGAGCCCCCAAAAAATTGGCCGCGGTCGAGGCCCCTGCGCGCCGCCGGAGCGACACCAGCGGAGGCGCTCGCACGCGTCGAGCGAGAAGTGCTCCGAGTCGGCGCGCGGCAGCAGGCCGGCGCCCGCCACGCCGTCCCTGCGTGCGCGCGCCGGGGAGGCCCGCGCAACGGCCGCGGCGGCCAGCGGCGGCCGCAGGCTGGGCTGGCGGCGGCAAGCGAACGGCTGACGGCCCGGCACGCGGGCCTTCGCACTGGGGCTTTCGGTCGGTTTCACTCAGAGGCCACGTTGAGAATGTGAGGGGCGTGCCGGGATTCCCTTGCTCACCCAGGTGGGCGGTCTGTCGGCTATGTTCCCGCCGTCGCCGCCCCGTCGCCGCCCCGCCGCCGCCCCGTCGCCGCCGTTGGATTGGACCCCACAGGTTGCCCCCAAAAATATGCATCTCAGCCATCGGTTTCGGAAGGGTTTCAAAATCGACTGTCCAAAAAACATATGAAACGCATGGATTCGCAATAACGCGTTGATCCACACGTTTTGAAAATACTACCAAACGGGCTTCGCGCGCGCGCATGTCGAAATCGTTCGTCGAATGCCCTTGCGCGCGTGCCGTCGCGAGCGTCCTCTGCAAAAAAAGGAACGCAATGCACGCGCACGTCGTAGCGCGCGCATGCCGGAATCTTTCAAAATGCTCTGGTTTTTGAAAGGATTTCAAAATCGAATGTCAAAATAACATAGTTGTTCCGCAACACGAATATGTAATAAAAGCGTGCGCGCTCTTGCGAATTCTTCATTATATATATATATATATATGTATATATACACAAAAGACTGCAGTGGCGCTTCGCGCCATGCACCTTGGTCCTTGAAGTTTGGTATGCAGGCGGAATGGCAGCAAGGTCAAGCCGACAAGTTAGCGATAACTCCTGATTGCCTTTTCTGGCATTGCCGCTATAATGATGTTATTCGTTATCCTTCCTCCATGCTTATTGTTCCTTATTTTCGCCATGCCTTGCGCATTCTCCCCATCCTCCTCAGCTCTTTTTTGCGGAGGCTCCTCCTTGGAGAGCCTCTAGTGGCCTCACAAAACTTGTTTCAGGCTTTCTCAACGCCTTCTGGAGGCCTCCTGGGCGTATTCTGAGGGCCTCTGGGGGCTTCCTCGGGCCACCCTGCCTCCAACCGCCGTTTCCCTGAACGACCGAAACATGATTTGGAATTCTTCGGAGGGTGTCGTTGGGCCATCTTGGGCCGCCATGGGGCTCTCTGAGGGCCATCTTGGACCCGTGTTGTGCCGTTCTGGGGCTCTCTTGGACTGCCTGGAAGCCCTTTCGGATGGTTGTGGGGCGATTTGGGAGCCTCCCAGGCGGCTTCGGACGCCCAGAAGACCGCCGTCTTGGAGCGTCGGGAAGCCGAAAAGAGGAGAACCCCATAATTCACCAATAACCCGCACAAAAAAAAATCATGTTTGCCTCGGGGGGCCTTCTTGGGAGTGTTTTTGGAGGCCTCTTTGGGGCCGTCCTGGAGGCCTCTTGGGCCGTCTTGAGTTCACGTCGGTCACTCTTGGAGCGCTCATGCGCTGTCTTGGGGGTCTCTAGGACGTCTCCGATGACCCCCCTGATCGCCCTAAGTGTGCTGGGAAGGCTTGGCAAAACGCCGTGCGAGGCCCGGTGGCCGCTTCGAGCCCCGTCCGGAGGGCCCCAAAGCCCCAGGTCCCGGGAGTCCGGTTTTGGGGGGGGGGGGGGCCGCCCGGGCCTATAAAATTTTAGGAAGAGGAATATATATATGTATATATATATATATATAGAGATATAGATATATATATATATATATATGCATACATACATATACATGCATACATACATACATACATACATACAGACATACATACAGACATACATACATACATATACATACAGACATACGTACATACATACGTATACCTACATACATACATATATACATACATACATACGTATACATACATACATACATACATACATACATACATACATACATACATACATACAACATGTTCATAAAATGCTACCAAACGGGCGCCGCGCGCGCGCATGTCGAAATCGTTCGAACGCCCTTGCGCGCGTGCTGGGGCGGCACGATCCGTGCCAAATAACACCATGCGAGCCACTCTCGCGCGTCTGCCGCGCGCGCATTTCGAATGCGTCCCCAAAACCTTCAGCACCGACGCGAAGACGCCATCGTCGTCGACGGCGTGATCAGCATCGGCGCCGTCACTGGCTGCTCCGTCGTCGCTGTCAGCATCACCACCAACATCGCTACTATCATCATCGTGTATACCGTTGTCGACGTTGCCATGATACCGCGCCCGCCCAAGTCGCCGACTCGCACTGAAGTCCCCGCTGGGATGTGCCGAGCGGCCAGCGCCACCGCGTTCGCGTCGGCCGCGCCAAACTAGCTGGCCGCCGCGCGCGCGAGCATGCGCGGGCTAGCGCGGCTGCAGAAATGCACCTGCCAGCGCCCAGCACTCATCGCAATCGCCGCCGCATGAGGTTTGCAAACCAACTTGCTGGCGGGCGGGTGGGACGTTTGCGCGAGCAGTGGCATGGACAACTCACTGCGAACAAAAATTAATTGCACCACATAAATTGCACCGCACAGATTGCACCATATAGGTTGCACCACATAAATCGCACCACATGGCTCCCACCATATACATTCTCCTTTCTAAAAACAAAATAGGATCTAACCCCCCCCCCCGGCGTTATCGACACCCCTTTCGGGCATGTACATCATATACGATTATAACCACATGTCCATCCTAACTATGATGTCACACTATCCCAGGCCAGCCGGGTTCCCCCCCTGAGGTCCCCTTGTAAAAAAAACACTATGCGGTGACAGTGTTTGTTCTAACATAACACTTTTTCATGAATCCCTTGAAAAAAAACGGGAAGAGTGCACACGCGCGCGTCGTCGCGCGCGCATGCCGAAATCCTTCAAAAACCTTCAGTGCCGGAAGGATTTCGCAATCGAGTTTTCAAACAACATACAAAAACACAGGGACTGGCAACACTGATTTGCTAAAAAAGTTTCCGCGCGAACTCTTGCGAAATCTTAAGACATCCATGGCCTTTTCAAGATTTTCACAAAATGCTATTAAACGGGCTTCGCGCGCGCGCATGTCGAAATCTGTCGAACGCCCTTGCGAGTGTGCCGTAGCGAGAATCCTCTGCAAAAAATAAGACGAAGTGCAGACGCGCGCGTCGTCGCGCGCGTATGCCGAAAACCTTCAAAACCATCGGTTCCGGAAGGATTTCAAAATCGTGTCCAAAACACTTACAAAAAAAACAAAGTTTGATTGCAGCCGCAGGACACGAACATAAAACCGATAAACCGATAAACCGATAAACCGATAAACTATTTCGGTTGATCGGTTTATCGGCAGATCGACCGATAAACCGATATGATTATATCGGTTTATCGGTCGATCTGCCGATAAACCGATCAACCACTAAACCGACTCATCGCATGCGTGCCCGAATCTCAGCACAGTTTATCAGTTTATCGGTTTATCAGTTTATCGGTTTATCGGTTTATCGGTTTATCAGTTTATCGGTTTATCCGAAATAGTTTATCGGTTTATCAGTTTATCGGTATATCGGATGTTTCGGTTTATCGGTTTATTGGTTGATCGGTTTATCGGCCCGGCGTTGTCGTGGTTGTCCAATGGGTAATCCTTCGAAATTCTCTCTCCTCTTCCTCCTAGTCCTCCCCTTCCTCTTCCTCCTAGTCCTCCTCCGCCTCCGCCTCCTCCTCCTCCTCCTCCCTCTTCCTCCTCCCCCCTCCTCCGTTCCGATCCTCCCTCCCTCCCTCCCTCTCCTCCCTCTCCTCCCTCCCTCCCTCACTGGCCCCGACGCCCATGGTTCTCCTAGTCCTCCCTCCCCCTCTTCCTCCTAGTCTCCTCCGCCTCCCCTTCCTCTTCCTCCTAGTCCTCCTCCGCCTCCGCCTCCTCCTCCTCCTCCTCCTCCTCCCTCCTCCTCCTCCTCCTCCTCCTCCTCCTCCTCCTCCTCCTCCTCCTCCTCCCTCCTCCGTTCCGATCCTCCCTCCCTCCCTCTCCCCCCTCCCTCCCTCACTGGCCCCGACGCCCAGTGCCCAGGCCCATCCAGAAAGAAAAACTGGAAAGGGGGGAGGGCGGGAAGGAGAGATGGAGGCAGGGGGGGTTGGATTCGATTCGGGAAGGGGCATTTGAGAAAAGAGGGGATGGAGGGGTGGAGGGAATAGGGATGGGGACGGGGGTTTGGAGTTGGGAAGGAGGGGTGGAGGGAGGAGTGGCGGGGGGAGGGCGGGGTTTGTGGGAAGCAAAATCTGGCGGGGCATTTCGGGCTAGGACGTTTTCGGTTTCTACAGCGCTTTGGCGGGGGTGCCTCCAGTTCCCCCTTCCTCTCCTTCTCTGGGCTTTGGGGGGGTCGCATTTCCCCTCTCCTCCTCCCCCATCCTCCTTCTCCTTCCCCCCTCGGTCTTAGCCGTATCAGGTTATCACTGTAGCGCGAGCTGCGGCGAAAGCTGCTGGCGTCGCGTGTCCTAATGCGGATCCGCGGCGATAGCTGCAGATCTGCGGCCACCCACACTATTGCGGGTCCGCGGCGATAGCTGCAGATCGGTATGGCCGCTTCTTGCGCCATCTGCAAGCAGAGTGCGTCAACGCGCACATGCAAGTGCACGGCCTGGACTTCGCTACTTTTCCATGCCCAGAGTGCAGGACCACGGAACGCCAGCTCCAGTCGATGGAGGCCGCCAGGTTGCAGCGGCAGCAGGTCGTCAGCAGCAGTGGGTCGTCAGCGGCAGCAGGTCACAGGCGCACAGCCGTCTTCCGGATCCCCCTCACCCAGGGGGGGGAGCGCAGGATCACCAGGGAGAACCGCCGCTCCAGGTCGCCGCCTCCCCGCGTCGTGGCCGATTCGCCCATCATGCAGCCCGAGTCGCCCGGTGGGGCCATCGTCCCGGCCGCGTCGCCCACTGGCACGGCCGTCGTCCCGGCCGCGTCGCCCATTGGCAGGGGGCTGTCGCAGTCCATATCCCCATCACAGTCTCAGCCGTCGCGGCCGCAAGGCCCTGCCATCACGGATGCCGATTTCGGTTTCACGTTCACTGACAACACGGCGG